TTATATCAAGTCCAGCACAATACCCCGATAAAGGTATATAGCTTGATAAAGCTATATAGCTTTATCAAGGTATTTAAAATACATTGATCAAGTATTTTCTGTAATGAAAATTGAAAAAAAAATCTAATTATTAAAAGTCGAGTTCTGAGTTATTGTCAGTAAATTCATCCTAATCCCTGTTAAGATTCTGCTAGGCTAGATATTTGGACAGGTCTGGTACAGTCAGTAGATTTAGCTACGTAGCTTGTTTTACCTACATAGCTTTATTTACCTACCTGAGGTAGCTTTATTTAGCTACCAAATTGATCTATTCCTATTAAAAAGCATTTTTCTCAGGGTGTGCAGACAATAACATTTTGATGCAGTGATCATTTTCAACTTTGAACTCATCTGAAAACAACTCATGAAAAAATATCTCTTGGAAAAATGTTTTTTCTGCGCAATTGCAATCAAAGTTCTGAAAGTTTTGGGGCTATGTATGACAGTTAGAACAGTTACTCCTTGAATGGAATGACAATGAAGTCCAGTTCCGGTTAACACGATAATAGGTCGGTAATTATTCAGCACAATGTGAAGTAATCATACTCAGTCATGCTTCACCGCACCTCATCGTTTGGTCGGATAACCAAACAATGGAATTACAAATGGAATTACATGTTTTGCTCTAAATTGTCCAAACGCAGCAATGTATAAACTATCTCTGCTTTGAATTGTTTTTAAAAACCTCCCTATTATAAATATCAATAGTCATTTAATTGCGACTTTTTGTCTCTTTTTAATAAAAAGAAAACTTTTGAAAACTTTACCTTGAAATAAGTAAATAAAGCTACCTGAGGAAGGTAAATAAAGCTATGTAGGTAATTCTACCTACGTAGCTAAATCTAGTGATTGTACTGGACCTGTTGGACTGACGCCGTCGCAGAATCCCTGGACAACTATTAATAATTCATGTCTGGAGATTAAGTACCAACTTCAGTTGACTATAGCAAGGTAAATTCACCTAGACCACACTGCCGTTCATTCAATTAAGTCATTTTTATAGTCGTTTATTTGACTCTCTGTCACTATTATTTCTACATAGCTTACCGTTAAGGCATGTAAATCCCAACATAAAATTATTCACTGAAATCTCCATTCAAATATGGCTCCTGTGACAAAATTGTTTACTATATAGTCTGTTTTTTAATAGTCTATGTGATGTTCTCCTGTATGAATTTTTAAGGTGGATTCCGCCTGGAATTTGGGTGGAATTGAGCAGGAATTGGCAAATTCCAGGCGTACTTGAGGCGGAGACGGAATTTTTAAAGAGTTACGCCTCAGTAGAAGAGATGTCTTACAGGCGTCATTTGTATTTTCCAGGCGTCAATTGGCAAGTTCAGATTTTTCGGGCGTAAAATGGCAGGAAAATAGAAACAAAAATTACGCCTGGAACTTTCAGGAGAAGTAAAAGCCTCTGATTGGTCGATTTAATTATCAATTAAGGGTCATTTCAGATAGGAAGTTAAGTTCGAATTTGATCATGAAGGAGGGAGTTTAGTGTGAGTGAAACAGGAAATGCAGATATCTCAATGTTAAGGCTTTTACACTTCTTGAGGATGACACAGTGTCTGCTGGTAGGTGTGATCATGAATATCTAGTACCTATTTGAGTAAATTTGATTATGATTATGTACAATGATAGTTATAACTGGTTGACCCTAAAATTACTTTAGATATTTGAGTTTGTCCTTAGTATGCACACATTCTGAGAAATATCTGTCTGATAGTGGCTGCAGTGAGAATCTAACTGTAAACTGCTGAGTAATTGAAGAACTGTATTCAGTCAGTAACTCAAATGTTTCAATATTATTACTGAAGTGATAAAATGTATAGGTATTGTAAAAAAGTTTAATTCTAAATACACACTCAATCATGTTTTAGTGTCCCTAATACACAAAATTCATGTTATTTTTCTATACTTGTTAATGATATATGTTAATGACCAGTCATTGTGTTTTCTTACAGTTCAAAAAGCTAAATTTTTAGCTTTAACATTGTAAATCATAATCAAAATGTTTTTCTTTGTTTACATGGTAAACTAAATATATAGGTTTTTAGGTCACAAAGTGTTATATAATAATAAGGACATTCCAGGCGTAATTCTATTCCAGGCGTCATTTTAGTTTCCAGGCGTAATTTTTTTACGGGCATCATTTATTTTTCCAGGCGTAGCTCATTTGCATCTTTCGCCTCAAATTCCTGCCCATTTATGCTTGGTTTCCGCCTAAGTTACGCCCGGAACCTGTGCATCACCATATATGTAGAGAGACAAATTGACGCCTCTCCAAGTACGTCTCAATTCCCCCTATATTCCGGGTGGAACATTTCGTACAGGCTTCAATAGCCACAGTAGACTTGGTTCAGAATTACATAGGGTAAAAACAGACTATAGGAACTCTTTTATTCAAGGAGGTATATAATTTCATCACGGGAGCCATATTTGAACGGAGATTTCAGTGAATATTTTTATGTTGGGATTTACATGCCTAAACGGTAAGTTATGTAGAAATAATAGTGACAGAGAGTCAAATAAACAACTAAATGACTTAAGGTATTCAATGTATAACGACAAAATTTTGTACCTAATAAATGAACGGTCCAATATTTTTAATCATGGTAGTAATTTGAAGATATTATCAAATGAAAATGCTCCACCAAAGGAATTTACAAAATTTTGATTATTGTCCAATTAATATCACTTTGAATTTTACATTGAAGTCTATGGGCAGTGCACGTTTTTATAAGATATTGTAAAAAGCGATTTGAATTTCAAAGAAATCTCTTGGTGAAAAGATTTATTGAAATATAAAATAAAATAAATTATTTACCGCAGAAATTTTGTGAAATCAAAAATTTTCTTCTTTTCATCAAGGGCAGATAACTCTTCAAACACTGTAAATGTGCAAAATGACCGTCTCCTTACATGTTATCAGTCTTGAAAATTTGGTTTATTTCACTTTTATCAATTTCTAGCTGTGTGCTTTGCAGAATCTAAACAGGGATTAAATTCACCCATGCACAAGTACAAACACAATGAAATCAGTAGAAAAACATGTTGTGTGAGGAGACGTTATTTTATGCTTTCTTTTTTTATACCAGAGTGTCTTTATGCACGAGTAGACACACTGACAAAAACTCAGAACTCAACTTTCAGTATTTTAATTTGTAAAGAATTTTTTTAAATTTTCATTACATAAAATACCTTGATCAAGGTATTTCAAATATACCTTCATAAAGCTAAATAGGTTTATTATAGGATTAAACGTTCTTTTTTCAGAATTTATCGATGTGTAAACTCTGCCTTTTTACTCACAAACTGAATAAAAGTGCGAAGCACTTTTATGTAAAGTTTGTGAGTAAAAAGGCAGAGTTTACACATCGATAAATTCTGAAAAAAGAACGTTTAATTCTTATAATTCCAATATTACGATTTTTTTTAATTGTTAAAATTATTTCTCTTTGAGGCCGCCATATAATCCGTTATTTTGTACGGCGTAGGAATACTTTATGCCGCAAAGAAACGTATACAAGATGAATATTGATAAAATCCAACTTTATTTGTCAAATCAATCTATAAATTAAACTTATAAAAACTCATTGAATGTTGTTTAAGTCAACAGATATCGTAAATACGCGAATTCTCCAAAATAGTTCGTCCTTGACTTCGCCATGTTGACGTCATGACGAAAGTTGAAGACCGACGACGTCCTCGATTTGCTCTGGTTCGTTCAAAGATTTAGGGAGAATATGGGATCTGTAGGATGTAAATATATGATTTGATGCTGAAAAGGCAAGAGTCTAAGGTACGTTTCTTTTCCCTATCACATTACGATACCAACTGAGTTGATATGGAACGTCGAGAAAATGACAGCATGATCAGCGATTTCAAAATATTTCACACCCGTGATCCGACAATGACATAAACATAATATTCCCGTCTGTCAGTCCTGTTTATCTCCTTTTCATTCATTAATTCATTTTTTATAAGTTTCTTGTAATCATAATTTAGCTAAAACGGACTAGAACTATCTGTTTTCATTGTTTTTACAACAGTCAAGAAAGTAGTTCTGGTTGAAGAATTCATCGATGTGTAAACTTTTTCTTGAATTTGTTCTCGTCCAATCAAAACACAAGGAATCGATAAAAAAAATTAAGATTGGAATTATCAAGCTATATACCTTTATAGGGGTATTGTGCTGGACTTGTATACAGTATATCAAATTGCATGATCAAGTCTCTGACCATGCATAATAAAATGGTGACTGTGTTATTGTGTATATTTTTATATATACATGCATTATTTAACAAGGTGCTCTATAAACATGACAAATATTAGAGCTTTGGAATAAAGCTATGACACCAAGCCTGAACTGTGAGTGATATTGTGTACAGAAGCTGTATACGTGTACTGTAGGGTGTGATGGATATGGGTTAGGCCTAGAAAAAAAATATGTTTGTTTCCGCTTTCAGGCTGAAAAAATATAGGGTAGGTAGGTAGGCAATTTTTTTTTTTTTTGAAAAATTTTTTTGGCTTCTTTAATCAAAACGTGTATAGAAGTATATAACATTAATGACAAAAGAAATGGTGTTTTCAAGCATTACTGTGACTTAACTTATAATAGAAAGGTGACGCAAACTTCTTTCTGTCTTGAAAAGCTTGTAAAGTTGGAGGCTATAATTCCCTGGTTGAAATCTTGCACATCATGGGACAAAAGCATTAAAAAAATATTTAGGGTCGGCACTATAAATTAGGGTCAGTCGGGAAAGCGGAAACAAACATATTTTTTATCTAGGCCTTACTGGTAGTCATATTATGCTTTATTCATACTACTATAACATGGCATGAATTGTGTACCTAGTCCGTTATCAGTCTAGACAAACTCCAAAAACGAAGTTAACGGAAGTAAGAAATTGAGACTGAAAAAGACTCTGAAAAAAGAGTCCGCGCATGCACAGATACACAAAAAATCTCGATTTTTTATAGGTCAACAAAAATTGTAAATGCAAAATTTAAGAAAGTTAACTGCAATTATATCAATACACTGAAATGGTACATTAAAGACATCTGAAGGGATCGTATTTGTTAGTTTTTTTATTTTATTTGCAAAAAGAGAGATATTTACTTTCAAATTTCACCTTTCAAGTCTGATCAATTACAGAGAAAATTAAACATTTAGGAATTAAATATGTGTGATAAAAGGGAAAAATCTGTAATAATGAATAATATACATGATATATGTTGTAACTGTTAAAAATTGATAACATTTTATCACCATCATGATTTATGTAATAGTTATCACATATTAACATTGTGAACAGATATCATCATGAAAACATTTTTAGAACTTTAATCTATTTGCTAGCTCGTGCATTTGAACAGCAAACTTGTGCCAATATTCACCAATATAAGTTCAATACTTTTAACCCTTTAATAATCATATAAATTAATGAGGTCGCCAAGGCTAGGAGATAAAAATCACACAACTTGTTGGATAAAAATCATATCCAACCAACTGCAAACCACATGTAAGATCATATATATGTTATATACACATTTAATATATTTGTCAGAGATAAAAAGAAATTCATGAATGAAGAGGTGAGAGAAATGGAAAGGACAAGTAAGGAAGAGGGGGATTTCAGGCCCAGAAAAGTTGAGATCTCGAGGTCAGAGGTCAGGCCTGGTGAAGTTGAGGGGTCAGAGGTCGGGCCTGGTGAGGGGTCAGAGGCCCTGCCAATAAAACCCAGCAGTGCCATCAGTACCAGTATAGCCTCTAGTTACTTCAACAACAAAATCCCAATACCAGAGGATGAAGACGTAAGATTCACTCAATCAGTATACAGAATGTCTAGTCCATAAACAGATAAACAAAATGTAAACAAGATTATCCTATTTTTTGACTTGTTTTGCTGCTTTTTTTTTTTCAAACACAACTTTTTACTTTTGGAAATATTCATCCTTCCTTCCCCCATCTTACACCCCTACTCCACCACCAAAATAATATTTTTCCACCTTTTCTTTAACTTTAACATGTTTAATGAGGAAAATGTTCTTTCAAATAAAAGATTAAGAGATGAAATATGCATTTCTCAGATTGGATAATCATCTCTGAAATATTTAATCCTGTTCATAATTTCTTTGATTTTCAGCATCCAGTGTTCAGCTTTAGAAAACTCTGGGCTTTCACTGGTCCAGGGTTCCTTATGAGTATTGCCTATCTGGATCCGGGAAATATCGAGTCGGATCTCCGGTCCGGATCTGTTGCTCAGTTCAAGGTCAGTATCTGATTAGTATTAACGAGCTTTAGAGTAATTAGTGAATCAATTAGCTTAAAAAATATGACAATTTATTTTAAAAATATAAGACATTTAAAGATTTGCTTATTAAACCAATGTTAATATGTTCTACAGTGCGACCGTTAGGGCGAGCGCAGTTATTTAACTATCAAAAACCTTTACACTTTTACTTGCCCTGCCTATCCTCAGTTCATCATTTCCCAGGCATTGAGATTCCGAACTTTTTCGAAGTTTTCGACAAAATCGGAAATACCCGAGCCGTGAATGTGATAAAAGTATGACGTCAAATAAAAAGTCCAGTTGACTTAGAACACAAACGATAGTTTTGTGGCATGGAGATTGCATTTAATCGTTGTTTGTAATTTTTTTTAAAGTAAGTTGTTGCTATGTTTTAGCCACCATGTTGCTATGCACCGCAAAGGATTATTGGGATTGAAGAATGTTTTCAAGTGGACTCATAAAAATTTCTTGGATCAATGTGCAGATTTCAACCTGAATTTCCTCTGTTTGTACATGTTAGTCTATTGAGCTCGCTACGCATTATAGTTGCTATGGATACTGACCTCTGTGTATTTATGTTATAGTTGCTATTTTATAGTTGCTATGGATACTGACATCTGTTTATTCATGTAACAGTTGCTAAGGATACTGACATCTGTTGATTCATGTTACAGTTGCTATGGATACTGATGTCTGTTTATTTATGTTATAGTTGCTATGGATACTGACCTCTATGTATTAATTTTATAGTTGCTATGGATACTGACGTCTGTTTGTATATGTTACAGTTGCTATGGATACTGATGTCTGTTTATTTATGTTACAGTTGCTATGGATACTGATGTCTGTTTATTTATGTTATAGTTGCTATTGATACTGACGTCTGTTTGTATATGTTACAGTTGCTATGGATACTGATGTCTGTTTATTTATGTTATAGTTGCTATGGATACTGATGTCTGTTTATTTATATTACAGTTGCTATGGATACTGACATCTGTTTGTTTATGTTACAGTTGTTATGGATACTGATGTCTGTTTATTTATGTTACAGTTGCTATGGATACTAATGTCGGCCACGTTTCTGGGTCTTCTGATGCAGAGGCTGTCGGCGCGCCTGGGGGTGGTGACAGGAATGCACCTGGCTGAGGTCTGCTACAGAAGCTATCCCAGGGTTCCACGCTTTGTGCTGTGGTTCATGGTGGAAATAGCTATCATTGGTGAGGTCCTGTTTTTAAGACAGGGGGGAAGCATGGGATTTCAACCAATCAAAATTCAAAATTATTGATAGAGGTACAATTTTGTTTGGTACTGTTCAAAAACATATTAATCTTAGATTATTAGGCCATCTAAATTTAATTCCTTGGTTCTCAGGCCAATTTTTCTCCAAAACAGATGCGGGAGGGCGGCATTTTATTTTTCATTTTATTGGCAATAAATTAGATGAGGGAGGTATTTTTTTTAATTTTAATTTCTGAATTTTCTTACACATAAAGAAAATTTTTTAAATCACAGATATACTTTCCATTTCTGGTCAAAATTACTGCTTTATCCATTGCTTAACAAAGTGTAAATATCTTAGGTAATGTCTTTGAATGTATTTAACTTCCAGTGCCCGTGTTTTCAAGTGAAGGAGCCAAAATCTCATTGTAAATGGCTACCGGAAGTGATATTTGAATACTAAACTACGAAACAAATGAGGTCAGAAAATTTTTTCCCGGATTGGTCTCCGCAATACCCACTTTTAATTTTATCAAAAATACAATAAAATCGGCAATGCGGCTACCTCAAAACAGATGCGCGTGGGCCTGAGAATCAAGATTTCAATTTTATTTGGCCTTAGGAATCATGTTCTTAAGATTATAAATGGATCACATTATATTTTATTATACATCATATTCAGTTGCATCAGCACTTTTGACCTTGACTTAAAGCAACGATTCAAGGAAAACTCTTCAAGATCCCTAGACTAGCTGATATTCATGTCCCATGGATGTATTTCTAGTGGTTTAATCACTACATGCTTTGTGCAAGATAGATTTTTTAATTGCTTTTTTATACCCCCCGCAAACGAAGTTTGGGGGGGTATATAGGAATCACTTTGTCCGTCTGTCTGTCCGTCTGTCCCTATGTCCCTCTGTCTCTGCAATCGTGTCCGGTCCATATCTTTCTTACAGAGGGACATTAGAATCTACTACTCCACACAAAGATTGTTCATGACCTAAGGGTTTGTCATGACCTTGACCCAAGTTCATTTTTGGGAAGTTCAAGGTCACTGAAAGAAATAATTCATAATTCGTGTCCGGTCCATATCTTTCTTATTGATAAACTTGGTAGGTTCTAATTTCACACAATGATCGCCCATGACCCAAGGGTGTGTCATGACCTTGACCCAAGGTCATTTGAGAAAGTTCAAGGTCACTGTAAGAAAATTTTCAAAAATCATGTTTGATACATATCTTTTATAGATAAACTTGGTAGGTTCTCATTTCACACAAAGATTGCCCATGACCCAAGGATCTGTCATGACCTTGACTGAAGGTCAATTTGGAAAGTTCAAGGTCACTGGAGGAAAATTTTCATAATTCCTGTCCGGTCCATATCTTTCTTATGGATAAACTTGGTAGGTTTTTATTTCACACAAAGATTGCCCATGACCCAAGGGTGTGTCATGACCTTGTCCCAAGGTCATTTGGGGAAGTTCATGGTCACTGGAAAAAAAATATCATAATTCGTGTCCGGTCCATATCTTTCTTATGGATAAACTTGGTTGGTTCTCATTTCACTGAAAGATTGCCCATGACCCAAGATTATCTGGAGAAGTTCAAGGTCACTGGAATAAAAATTTCATAATTGGTGTTTGATACATATTTTTATTATGGAAAAACTTACTTCTGAAAAACCCAGCGGGGGGTATTTTGACCTGTTTGGACAGTTCTAGTTTGTTTCAAATTCAGTCTTGTCTATGCCTTACTCGTCCTAATATACACAGACCAAATAAGTCTTAGAGCTATATCCTTATCATCATGGGTATATCCAAATGCTTGAGTTGTGAAGTTGAATTCAGACTTATACAACTTGCACAGTTAATGTTTTTTTTTTCTCTTTAAAGAAAAAGAAAGTACAAAGCTAAAAGAATTTCAAAACTCCACTTTATACATTTAAGCAGGAAATTATATACTGTAAAAGCACAAATATCCTTGGGGATTAAATTTTGTTTATTTCGTTGTTAACAATATTCAATAAAATTAAATCCCACACAAAATTTTGTAGTTTATATATTGAATAGGGTTACTTTCAAAACAACGAAATTAAATGCCCACAAAACCATTTTTGATGACAAAATAAAGAAAAGTTATGCCAACGAAAAGGATGACTGCACTTAACGCCAGTTTTTGGGTCTTTTTCGATCTCTCTTGTTAGATTTATTTTTGTTTTCATTCTTGTCTCAAGTCATTTATTATAGAGTTTGGTCTATTTCCAAATGAAATGCAATGTCATAAAAGTTATAAACTGCGTTGCAATGAAATAATTCGCTGTATCCTTACCCCACCTCTCTGCAAATATTGGGAAATTAGACTTATCTGCTCTTGATTGAAGATAAGATTTATAAATATGCATAAGAGGTGGAGCTAATATTATGATGAGCTAGTGGTCTAAAATTAGAATAGCTACTGTATTTATATTTTATATTTGGTGCATTCTCTCTCTCTCTCTCTCTCTCTCTCTCTCTCGTCATATGTTTGTCACTATTATTTTTTAAGTTTTTAAATAAAGTTTATATAACTAATAACAAATAACATCGACCGGTAGAAGAAACCATTCTCATTGATAATCAACAGCAATGGCTGATATCAACAATTCGCGTGTTCGAATATAAGTGCCGACAAGCTCAGTTGGCAATGCACAGAATCAATAATATATAGGTCCGGGATCGAGACCCAATAACAACAGTAATACTTTTTTCCCTTTCATAAAAAAGAAAGAAAAACATCACAATAGCTCAAGTTTTTTTAGTTTCTTTTATAATTACTTTTCCCAATAAATAAGCGTTCTGAGGCTGGCATGATTTCAATTCTATTTACTGGATCTTACTTTGGATGTTCATGTTAAGCAATGATTCAAAACATAATAAATAAATCTTTTTTTTCTTGTAGACAATGAACATGTAGAGACATGCATTCAAAAATATATAAGGAAAGTAAAATGAAACGCTTATGAGATAAATAAATAATATAGATATCTAAGAAAAAATAAGAATATCCCGTGGCTCGAATGAATTGAAACAGATACGAACAATCACTATCTGCAAGCAGAATGCGTGTATCCTTACACGTCACTCGATGGAATTCTAGTATTCACAGAGTTACCTGGGTATAGAAATCACGTGGTTTATTATAATATTCAACAGGTAACAACGTGGTCAAAATGGCCACTTACTATAGAGAAAGTGAACACAGTAGAAACAGTTTTTTCTCTTTTTAACCATCAGCCCATGTTTGTCTATTGATCTCCTTTTAATATGAGTTAATATAATATATAAATATACAACTACCATAAAAAGGAGATCAATAGACAAACATGCGCTGACTATGTATTAAGTAGGGATGTCAATTTTACTCAGACAGCTTAGTCGAATAGTCGAATGCTTTAGTCGAACGATAGTCGAATATTCGTTTAATTTTAGTTATTTTTTCGTACCAGTTTCACTGTTTGTCTTTTACAGACTATTTTACAATATTTAACCTACGCTATCACCATTATACTAGTTTATCAAAATGTAAACATTAACATAGTGCAATAAAAACTGTACATCAATATGTATCCAACGATTTAATTTCAAAATTAATATATATCTGCACATTTAACTAATAAATAAGGATATCAAACGCCAGCATTTGTTCTTTCTTTACATAACGGTAGTACATGTACCCCATAATTGAAGCCAATTATTACGTGTCCTTCAATGATCTTTGACAGGTAAACAAATAAAAGCGCGTCTTATAAAAACAAAGAAAGAGTGAGAGCTTGGGATAAATTTAAATTATGAAATTTTGTACAAACTATCAATAATTGTAGGAAATTAATATCAGAAAAAGAAAGCACGGTTTAATTACTCTCATATTAACTGACCCTGATTTACATGTATTTACGATTTTGAAATAGCTGTTTACTAGTGTCTTTCACTAGTTAACAATTTTCAAATATAAGTTTATTCCCTTGAATTCAAAATTACTTTAATGAAACACATTTTTATAGAATAATCGACTAAAGAAATTTTAGTCGATAGTCGAGTACTCGAATATTCGTTGACATCCCTAGTATTAAGCCGTTTAAAAGATGGGCGTACTCATTATCCTATGGAGATTCCAGAATGTGCGATGTCCCTCCCTATAAAACTGACTTCGAACTTCTTTAATACGAACTTTTAATTAACGTAATTACACAAAGTTGCAGTTAAGACATTGACCATTTCTGCCACTGAAAGAGAAATGCCCATTTTAAAAGTTAATTATGTCGCAATTTCTAAGTTTCCTTAAATGCAGTCATCCTTTGTGCTTCTACAGTAGTCAGTCAGGGGTGTGACTGAAATACATCATTAAATGATTGAAATTCATCTTTTTTTAGAATAATGATGAAAAATAGTCATTTCTATATTGAAATTTATTTTAGAAATAGAGCTACCTTTGATATTAAAAATGACTGTATTTCATCCTTTTTTTTTATCAAATTGTAAGGTCTGGGCACACTGAATTATCTCGTTAGTTTTACAGGGCGCACTAAATTATTTTGGTTTCAATTACTTGTCAAGATGTTTCTCTGCACAAGGGTCTTTGGCAGCATAGTGTACTATATCTTATTACTGTAGTAAATGGGTTGGAAATATTGACTTGGGAATGGAAATATGATGAAAAGAAGTCATATTTACAAAAATAGGAAGAATGTGTACATTAATATATACTTAGAAGAAATGACCATTATCAATCATTTTTAAAAATGATGGATTTCAGTCATACCCCTGACTGGTAGTCACAGAAGTTTTGTATTGATTTGTTTACAGGATCAGATATGCAGGAAGTGATTGGGACGGCTATAGCATTTTACCTGTTATCCGATGGAAAGTAAGTTTTTTATATTTACAACACAAATCTGATTCATTCATGATGAACATACATGTGTTACTTTGAAATACAGTTTTACTACTATACATGATATATAAGCTAAATTAAGCTAAAAAGTCAAGTGAACTTTTCTGATCACTCTTCTGGTGTCTGTCTGTCTGTCTTTCAATCTGTCTAGCTGTCTGTCAATCTGTCTGTCTGTCTGTCTAGCTGTCTGTCTGTCAATCTGTCTGTCTGTCTGTGAATCTGTCTAGCTATTTGTCTGTCAATCTGTCTGTCTGTAAACATTCTAACTTCTTCTCGAGACTGAGGGAATATGACTGTAATATTGCTTACTCAGCATTACACATTACATGTAAACAATTTCTCAGACACAAAAATGTGCAATTTTAAACAAACTATCTAAGAAACATTCTTATGTAAAGGAGATTAAATCCTTAAAATGGAGGACCAAACTCCCTTCCAATGGAAGATATTAAAGAAAAGGCCAAAAATAGGGTAGGGTAAAAAAAAAATTCAGAATCTTAACTTCTTCAAAATTCACAAGAACAACTGGGCCAAAAATGCTGAAACTTATTTGGAAGCATCCTTAACATGCTAAAGACAGAGAAAATTAGTGTAGATTATAAATCGTTGAATTCATGGCCCATGGGAGGAGGGGGGGGTATAACTTATCCTTGATAATTCCTTTATATTTTTTCCCTATGCCCCTGGATGGGATTTCCCACACAAAATATTGCTAATAGGTTTCTGAATTTAAAATATTGTTTTTGTTTTATTTCGTCCTACAGAATCCCCCTGTATGCTGGCGTACTGATCACTATCGCGGACACGTTGTTATTTTTGTTTTATTTAGTCCTACAGAATCCCCTTGTATGCTGGTGTACTGATTACTATCGCAGACACGTTGTTATTTTTGTTTTATTTCATCCTACAGGATCCCCTTGTATGCTGGTGTACTGATCACTATCGTAGACACGTTGTTATTTTTGTTTTATTTCGTCCTATAGGATCCCCCTGTATGCTGGTGTACTGATCACTATCGTAGACACGTTGTTATTTTTGTTTTATTTCGTCCTATAGGATCCCCCTGTATGCTGGTGTACTGATCACTATCGTAGACACCTTGTTATTTTTGTTTTGTTTCGTCCTATAGGATCCCCCTGTATGCTGGTGTACTGATCACTATCGCGGACACGTTGTTATTTTTGTTTTATTTCGTCCTACAGGATACCCCTGTATGCTGGTGTACTGATTACTATAGCGGACACGTTGTTATTTTTGTTTTATTTCGTCCTACAGGATACCCCTGTATGCTGGTGTACTGATTACTATCGCAGACACGTTGTTATTTTTGTTTTATTTCGTCCTACAGAATCCCCCTGTATGCTGGTGTACTGATTACTATCGCAGACACGTTGTTATTTTTGTTTTATTTCGTCCTACAGGATACCCCTGTATGCGGGCGTACTGATTACTATGGTGGACACGTTGTTATTTTTGTTTTATTTCATCCTATAGGATCCCCCTGTATGCTGGTGTACTGATTACTATCGTGGACACGTTGTTATTTTTGTTTTATTTCTTCCTATAGGATCCCCCTGTATGCTGGTGTACTGATCACTATTGTAGACACGTTGTTATTTTTGTTTTATTTATCTATAGGATCCCCCTGTATGCTGGTGTACTGATCACTATCGTAGACACGTTGTTATTTTTGTTTTATTTCGTCCTACAGGATCCCCCTGTATGCTGGCGTACTGATTACTATCGTAGACACGTTGTTATTTTTGTTTTATTTTGTCCTATAGGATCCCCCTGTATGCGGGCGTGCTGATTACTATCGTGGACACGTTATATTTGTTTTATTTCGTCCTACAGGATCCCCCTGTATGCTGGTGTACTGATTACTATCGCGGACACGTTGTTATTTTTGTTTTATTTCGTCCTACAGGATCCCTCTGTATGCTGGTGTACTGATTACTATAGCGGACACGTTGTTATTTTTGTTTTATTTCGTCCTACAGGATACCTTTGTATGCTGGTGTACTGATTACTATCGCGGACACGTTGTTATTTTTGTTTTATTTTGGCCTATAGGATCCCCCTGTATGCTGGTGTGCTGATTACTATCGCGGACACGTTGTTATTTTTGTTTTATTTCGTCCTACAGGATCCCCCTGTATGCTGGCGTACTGATCACTATCGCGGACACGTTGTTATTTTTGTTTTATTTATCTACAGGATCCCCCTGTATGCTGGTGTGCTGATTACTATCGCGGACACGTTGTTATTTTTGTTTTATTTTGTCCTACAGGATCCCCCTGTATGCTGGCGTACTGATTACTATCGTGAACACGCTGTTATTTTTGTTTTATTTCGTCCTTTAGGATCCCCCTGTATGCGGGCGTTCTGATTACTATCGTGGACACGTTGTTATGTTTGTTCTATTTTGGCCTACAGGATACCCCTGTATGCTGGTGTACTGATTACGATCGTGGACACGTTGTTATGTTTGTTCTATTTTGGCCTACAGGATACCTTTGTATGCTGGTGTACTGATTACTATCGCGGACACGTTGTTATTTTTGTTTTATTTCGTCCTACAGGATACCCCTGTATGCGGGCGTACTAATTACTATCGCGGACACGTTGTTATTTTTGTTTTATTTCGTCCTACAGGATCCCCCTGTATGCTGGCGTACTGATCACTATCGTGGACAGGTTGTTATTTTTGTTTTATTTCGTCCTACAGGATACCCCTGTATGCGGGCGTACTGATTACTATGGTGGACACGTTGTTATTTTTGTTTTATTTCATCCTATAGGATCCCCCTGTATGCTGGTGTACTGATTACTATCGCGGACACGTTGTTATTTTTGTTTTATTTCGTCCTACAGGATACCCCTGTATGCGGGCGTACTGATTACTATGGTGGACACGTTGTTATTTTTGTTTTATTTCATCCTATAGAATCCCCCTGTATGCTGGTGTACTGATTACTATCGCGGACACGTTGTTATTTTTGTTTTATTTCGTCCTACAGGATACCCCTGTATGCGGGCGTGCTGATCACTATGGTGGAAACGTTGTTATTTTTGTTTTATTTCGTCCTACAGGATCCCCCTGTATGCGGGCGTACTGATTACTATCGTGGACACGTTGTTATTTTTGTTTTATTTCGTCCTACAGGATACCTTTATATGCGGGCGTACTGATTACTATCGCGGACACCTTCACCTTCCTCCTCCTGGACAAGTACGGTCTACGTAAAATGGAGGCGTTCTTTGCATTCCTTATTTTCATTATGGCTGTCACTTTTGGATATGAGGTCAGAGTTGTATAAATGTGAATACTCTAGTGTACTTTTTTCCACGGTGTCACAATTCCATGGAATCTCAATTTCTGTTTAACCCACTGGTAGAAAATTACGCGGATTTCTTAGACTGTCCCAATGTACTTTGCATGTATTTTAAGTACCCTTAGACAAATTATGCGGAAAATTTGTGACCACGTACATAGCGTAAATTAAAACCACACTGAAAAAAGTACTTCTACATTATTTAAAAGGTACATGCTACAAAAATAATTTTCTTATCTCCCATACAGAAGAGTTATACACTGGTATATTTTTCAGTATTTCTATTAAGAATTTTTTGGCTTCAAAATTAAAAGGTAAAAAATAACTCGGAAACTCCATAGTGAGAAAACTTCATACTTTTCTAAATTTTCTAAAATAAGAGAGGTACCTAAATTAGAAAGGATATTTAAATTTCAGAAGAAAAAAGTTTGTGTTTATTTAAAGTCGGGTACATCAACAGAAAAATACACTAGCTTTGAACATGTTGAATAGCGATATTTTTCAACTACATAAAAATGTTTTATAAAATACAACAATCATACATAAAAAACATGAAATGTACAATGTATTAAAATATTTATACGCTACTAAAATATCAATATGACTCTTTGATGCATTACATTGACAAATGTCATTATTCATCACATTAAGAACAACAAGTAACAGCTTTTTAAAAAACTTGCCTGACTAAATCAATCGATATCTGCAGGAGAAGTGATAAACCTTTTGAGCAATACTTTTGTGGGTTTATTAATAAAATATGTCTTTGCTTTATATTTTGAGAACCTTAAGTAAATGAAATCTTGATTTTATATAACTTGTAGAAGAATCATTTTTACACCACAATACTGAAGAGGTGTTATTTGTGGATCGAATGCTAGATAGAAAACTTAGATTTCAATAAGAAAGGAAGCACTTCATAAATCACTTTTGTGAAAAAACTTCTTAGATTTTCTAATAACTTTTGAGGTAAAGCTGAGATAAACTATAGTTACAGTATATTGAAGACATGTACATAGTTACACGTCTGTTCAGTTTAGGTTTGTTGTTTTACTATACAGTAAATTAAGGATGTCCAATCTCAACTCTGATATCTCAACAAGTTGGATATCTCGACATATTCAGATAGTCCCGTCCAATGTAGAGATAATGAAGTTTATTTGTATATATTTCTAAAAGATTCTGGTAAAGAATTCCATAGTTAATTTAACCTTACCTGTGTTATTTAATGCCCTGTTCACACGGAGAGTTTAATTCGAATTAAATGTAAGTTTACTGCGAATTAGCTTTGCTTAGCGTTCACACGGAGAATTTAATGCGCATTAGTTCAATTCGCATTAGTTTACTGTGCACTAAATTACTTCGCATAAGCTCCGTGTGAACGCTAAGCGAAGCTAATTCGAATTAAATTCTGACGCATGCGTAATGGCAAAATTTAGCCAAATGCCACTTGTCGGTAGTCAGCTATAGGTGCTTGTGCTATTTTTGAGTGAAAAACTAAGGAAAAGTTTGTAGATCATTAAAATGTGTATACAGACACTTTGCCATTATGTCAAATGGATCTGCTTCAGCATAAGGTGAAGTGATTTGCAAATGACGTCATAATAGCCGGGCTGCAGAAGTAAAATTTTAATTTGAATTAGTTTACTTATCATTAGCTGTCGTGTGAACGCAATTTAATTCGCATTAGTTTGATTCGCATTAGTTTAATTCGCATTAATTTGCTGCGAATTAAATTCTCCGTGTGAACAGGGCATTATTGTGTTATTTATCAATATTTGATACATGTACCATGGATTAAATCATTGGATTTCTGTATTGATTAGAGATGTTGATACAGAAAATGATTCCTAATTCTTGAATGCTGATAAGAATTTATTGATAAATACAATAAAAAGCATGGGAGTATGTAGCCCTTATCATAATTACGCCAGCTATACTCTATGTTACAGTAAAACTTGGTTATAATGAGGTCACAAGGACCTATAAGATCCTTTTACTATATCCATAATTCATTATATCCATATAAGGAATTCATAAAATTCATAAAGTGGGGGATCCAAAACAACTTTGCTATATCCATGAATTCGCAATATCCGTGTTCGAACTAAATGAGTTTTACTGTACTTAGTTACTTCGCAAAATTTTGAATACTCCAATTTATGTACAGTACTCAACTATAGGCACATTTATTTTCCCCTTGCGCAACTAGTTGCGGAGGGGATATAGCATCGCGAATGTGCGTAAGGGTCTGTGTGTGTGTGTTAGTGTGTTCGTTACACCTTGTGGGCAAGATTTACAGAAAACCTTTGTATTAATCATTCTCAGCATTTACATACTTGTCTGGCAGTATAAAAGATCGAAGCCTATTCATTATCAAGTTCATCGATGAAATATTTCTTCAGATATTGCGTTTTTACTGCCTCAAAACTCTGACATTTTATGTACGAATTGACAATAATCATTTGTGGGCAAGATTGTCAGAGAACTTTTGCATAAACCACTCTCAGCGTTTACATACTTGTGTAGCAGTATAAAAAGATGAAACCTATTCATTTTCAAGTTCATTGTTGAAATATTTCTTGAGATATCGCGTTTTCACTGTCTCAAAACCCTGACATTTTATGAACGAGTTGACAATGATATTTCTGCTAGAGAGAGAGCTAGCTTTAAAGTTTAAAAAGCGTGTCGAGTCTGCGGGACCCAGATTAAAAGATTGATGAACGAAGCAGTTTTATTACCAAATTCCAAAAGGTTTCTGGGAATTCGGGATGCACGTTATTCCTGAAAGCTGTAAATACAATCTACAAGTTCAGTTAACTTATCGATGTACATGTACATTGTTGTTTTTCACTCAAGTCGAACAAAATGCATATTGCCTGGAACCGTGAAATATACTTAGGTAGGTAAATAACTAAAATTACTGAAACATACATTTAGCATACGAGATATGTTTCTGCTAGGCATCAGGGAAACTGCCCAATTACGTATGCATATTACCCCCTCCCACTTAAATGCTATGCAATTTTATTTTTGTTAAAAAGACATCTTCCATCCGCGATAATTTTGTTTCAAAAATAAATAGTGCTGAAAAACAATTTAATATACATGTATTATATTAAACTTAACAACCCCAAAAGGTATCCATATCCCCCCTTAGCCAAGACGGTATGCACTTTGCATTATGTAAGAATGGATCATCAACAACATGCCACTAATAATTTTGTCAGAAGTAAGGAAGTTGATCCTAATGTTGCGGCTTTGAATCCCTTTGTGGGACGAGTAGACTGGTCTTTCGAATGAAACTGTGTAAACCAAGGGCCAATGCCCCAATAGATGCTTGCATAAAAAGATCCCTCACTGCCCATTGGTCGTCAGTTCCTATTATAGGAAAAATGTGCAGCTCTCCACCGGCAAGCCTTCATATACACAAAAGATTCCTGAGAGGGACATTAAAAAAGTACATTTTACTATCAATATTTAACATGTTTAACGTCCCTTGAATTTATCTCTTATCAGATATTGCCATAACCACTGAAGTTACCGTCGCGTCAGGGGATGCTCCGCTTAGCGATGCCCTTGTTTATTATTAGGTCTTTCCACCTATTGAAATTGTTCTGTTTATTATTAAAGTCTTCCGTTTCCAACGGAAGACCTTCTACTGATTCTGTTGTTTCTTTTCCACTATTATTAAGCGGAAGACCTTTCTGTTATTCTTAGGTTTCATTTTCACAGTTTTTATTATTTTTTTCTTACATATTTTGTGCTCGCGAGTTCTCAAAAATGGCTCAATCGATTATCATGAAATTTTCAGGACTGATAGAAAATCAAAAAATCTAGGTACGAGGGGCATTTCAAAAGTTCTGAGAACTGTTTAATAAAAAATTAACCGTTTCACGGAAATTATTGAGTTTGATATCATTGGAAAGATCAGAAAAATATACACATATTGTGACGTCACTTTATAATTTTTATGACGTAATAACTCCGAAAATGACGTCATAATTCCGAATGCTTACGATACTGGCCATAAAAATGATGTAACAAAAGACACAATTTGATCAAATTAAAATTTGAAAAAACAACTTTTGCTCATTACTCGGGCGCAAGCTATCGGACGCAAATGCCAGGTGGTGGAACGTTTACATAGACTACAATCTATCATATGGTGTTCTATTTCGCCGATCTTCTTGTTCTGAAATGGTTTAAGCGATTGTTAAACATCGCATGTTTTTATCGAATCTTGCTCAAAATATTGCGTAAAACAGACCTAGCTGTAAGAAAAAAGCAAAGTTGACAATCAAAGAAAAATAGACGATCGTGTTACAAACTTTGATGGCATCAATTCGTCAGGTGTTTTAACGAGATTGAGGGATTGATGAAGGCTCAAGAGAAGATAAGTTTAATGTGCCCCATATTTTCTCGTAAAATCCAAATTGGCACGGGCGCAGTTATAACCCCACCATACCTCCACATATTAGCAAATTTTAATTAATGGGAATAAAATAAGATTTTATGTGTCTGTGTAACTTATAAACATTTTTTGGAGTCAAAAGTCAAAAGCAGTAGTGAATTCTTGGGCGCCGAGTTTGATTCAATTAGAAAAAATATGCTAAAACAAATCAGGGGCAAGACTTTTGAACATTTTATTTGTAAGCGGTAAGAGTTCTGTGACACAAAATTTATTTGTTGAAAACTGCATTTAAATACTTCAGTTTTATATAGAAAATGTTTAATTTCATACAGTGGTGAGCTTTATAAACGACCGAAAATCCAGTCGTATCATGTAACTTATATCTTATATGAATACCGATGATAGCATAGCCGGGCATAAACAGTGCTAGTAAACAGACCGTACAATGAAATATGGAATTCTTGATAAACGGTACTATAGTTCTACTCTACTTCTTTGCAAATACAAATTTTCTTTGAAATATTTTCTTTTCAAATAAGCCGTTGGCAGAAGTTTTAAAATTGTTTGATGTGGATAAAAACGTGACTTTTCAGTATGCTAAGCATTCTATACTATGACGTCATTTTCGCAGATATTACGTAATCAAAAATATAAAGTGACGTCACGATATGTGTATATTTTTCAAATCTTTCCATTGATACCAAACTCAATAATTTCCGTGAAACGGTTAATTTTTTTAAAACAGTTCTCA